TGGGCTAATTAATAAAGAACAAGTCCTAATGAATTTAATGACACGTCTGGCCAATGAAGGCTGCAAAGCAAAGAGAGGTGGGAAAAGAGAAGATTAGTGCTAACATGTAATAGAGGGATTACAGTACAAAACAGCAGCGGAAACTGTTTACACAGCAGATGCAGATGTACCTGAGCATGCCAACCAATTTGAGTAGTTTCATTTTTGAAAAGGCCTTTGTCTCTTTCTCTCTTCATTATTCATGAGCCGTGTTCCATACACATGAGTCTTCAGATCAGTTCACTTCTCTTCCTGTATGCATCATATCCAGGATTAGAAACAAAACGTTTTGTGTGTGTGTTTTTTGCACTGAATCGGCACAGTTATGTAAAATAATGTTTAACACAGAGACTGAATGCATAATCAGTCTTTATCAACACAATTGTTTTACATACTGTATATGTAAAGGCCAAAGCATAAATACATATCACAAAACAGTGACTTATAGTGCATCACACTTCATTTCTTTGTGTTCTCTCTACATAGCTGCTCAGAAAGTGCATGCTCGTTGCTGAGATGCCTGTGAAAGAGCACATAAACTGAAAAGCAACACATTCGAAGCATATTTCTTGACAAACATTTGATGAAAGTGTGGATTCACATCTGCCTAATGTCTAACAGAGAGAGTTTTGTGACATATTGGTGAGAATTTGTCCTTTTAGGAAATGATTATTTCACAAGAAAATGATCAGGGACTTTTTTCACGATAACTGAGGTCTAGCGGCTATTTAACTACTATATACGTTTCAAAATAGTCAGTCCACAGTAAAATGCACACAGCCTGCATAAAGTAGCTGTGATTTTTCACGAACCGTTGTGACTTCCGTAAAAAGTTGACGTCAGAACTACACAGTCACCACCTTCAGTCACCACCCCGAGCACCGCCCACAGTCCCACTCTCCTTTTGCCAAACCCCCAGACAGCATCGCGTCCATGCCATTTGCTGAGCAACAAAAACACGGAAACATGTCGAAAAGGTTATCTTTAACCACGAAACCAGATCGGCCGACCTGTAACGTTACACTCTCACTCAAAGGATGGACGATCTGACAGGATTGTTACTATGAGGTGGATCACATCTAACGTGTATAGTAAAGACAAACTCACCGTGTCTATCTAGTCATGATGAAGATGCATATACATTTCAATTTCAGTAGGCAACTATTTTTACAGCTATATTATTGTTCCAGCCACAACTAATCACAACAATGTATAAACAATTACAAATGATTATATATAAATCGTCAGTTTGTTGTTTTACACATGTGCACACAGACATTATTTCATACACGACATAGTCGTGAGATGCAAGAAACATAGACATGGCAAGAAATCTGTAGACGCGCCCATAACAAAAGACAATACTTTATTGAACCTTTTCTGATAAGAAGTGTGCGCTGCAAACGCGAGCATTTTTGACCAGTCTGCTCGTTTTATCGCGTTTAACCACAGCTGTCGGTTTTTTGTCTGGCAGTGGCAGCAGATATGCTTCTTTTCCTTTCGGCTGTTCCCTTCAGGGGTCGCCACAGCGAATCATCTGCCTCCATCTAGCCCTATCCCCTTCTGCATCCTCTTCTCTCAGACCGACTACCTTCATGTCTTCCTTCACTACATCCATAAACCTCCTCTTTGGTCTTCCTCTCGGCCTCCTGCCTGGCAGCTCTAACCTCAGCATCCTTTTCCCGATATATTCACTCTCCCTCCTCTGAACATGTCCAAACCATCTCAACCTGGCCTCTCTAACTTTGTCTCCAAAACATCTCACATGTGCTGTCCCTCTGATGTACTCATTCCTGATCCTATCCATCCTCGTCACTCCCAAAGAGAACCTCAACATCTTCAGCTCTGCTACCTCTAACTCTTCCTCCTGTCTTTTCCTCAGTGCAACTTTCTCCAAACCATACAACATCGCTGGTCTCACTACTGTCCTGTACACCTTTCCTTTCATTCTTGCTGGTACTCTTTTATCACACAACAAACCTGACACTTTTCTCCACCATAACCCATACTGTATATACACATATTCAGATTAATAGTTGTTTTTTCAGTGGTTGATTTAATGAAAATAGTATATAGTAAAAATATAAAATATATAATGATCATATTTCATTTTTATTAAAGTAATTAATTTAATTGATCATTTCAGGAATTATAAATCTAAACTGTTCCAATTATTTGTGAATTGTTAATTTCTGAATGATTACTTAAAAAAATGATAAAAATAGAAATAAATAAAATAAAATATATATTAATATTGCAAAATATTTACATTTTATAAAAATACATTTTAGACACACACACTAAATAATTATATACACAAATATTATTTATTTATTTGATAAAATTTCAGGAATTATAATATTATAATTTCAGCAATTTAAATTGCTGAAATTATAATATTATAATTCCTGAAATTTTATCAAATAAATAAATAATATTTGTGTATATAATTATTTAGTGTGTGTGTCTAAAATGTATTTTTATAAAATGTAAATATTTTGCAATATTAATATATATTTTATTTTATTTATTTCTATTTTTATCATTTTTTTAAGTAATCATTCAGAAATTAACAATTCCCAAATA